AAACAAAAAAAAACTCTTAAATTTGGATGTGTATATATCTATCTAAGCATGACTGTTAGTAAACTCAAACCAATGCGAGACTCTTTTTTTCTTTACCAAAGAGGTTTGAACTGGTCATTGTGCAAAATGGTATGTTTACGTTTTGGGTACATTGACCCTAGCCTAGAGAAGGTCAACGATCGGTTTAATAATTAATTGTGAGTCTTGTTTGTGCCCTTTTGGAAATCCGGGAAATTTTGTCTCAAAGCGACACTGGACATGATATGATACATAATTTGAACAAATTCTTTAACCCTTTATTATTGTTCTAGCTTTTTTTTTTTTTCTTGTTAAAAGTTACCTTCGGTGTATCGTGAAAAAAAAATATATATATTATTATACATGTATCAACGTCTGATTCTGTAAAATTCAAAAATAGGCCGTAACCTATCGACCCGAACAGCTAATACGTGTATAGGCTTATAATATGAGTCTTTCGAAGTTTTGGCACTTTGTCAGAAGATAATTAATTTTTTCCTGTTATTTGTACTTTCTTTTACTTTTCTTTTTTTTCTTTTTTTTCAGGGAGAAAACTAGCCAGTAGTAAAAGGCCTAACCTTATGAGATTTTGCTTACAGTTAGATCCAACTCTGAGAACTTTCTTAAAGAATTGAGAATAAAAGCGTAGGCCTACCTAGGTATCTAAATTTCTTGTTTTATTTTGAGAGTGCTTTTGTTCGTGTTTTGAAACAAGTATCGAAAGCCTGGTTAAATGCTCTCACGAAAATGTCAAATCTTTGTATTGCTCTAACTATCCAAACCAAAAGTCTACAAAATGAATTTGGTGCGCGAGGCTATGCACCTACCTAGGCCTACGCCTACATCATTTCACGTCGCCCAGGCCTAGATCTATTTCATTGCAAAATATTATGTCACTTTGCGAGAAAATCTGGCAAAGAACGAGATGATTCGGACCGTGTCCCTTGCCTGACCTGCACTGCAGTCTCACCTTGACAAGCTCGGAGCCGTGCATCCAGAGGGAAAAGACTGGCGAGTGACCATTTGGCTAATTCTTTCTGCTAGCCTGAAGTGTCATTTCAGAGAAAATGGGTGTCGACATTGGAGGTAATGCTTATAGCACTCGAAGTTGCACAACATAACTCTGGATTAGAACTTTGGATTTTCGTAAAAATTAGATCTAATAAAAGTAAACAGTTTTTTGACGCATCCGCCTCCACAGGTAAACAGGAACCCGCCACAAGGCTATAGTTATAGACTATAGTATAGATCTAGTATAGAATCTAGAGGAACAAAAGGGGCACGCCAGACCATCTGTTGCCGGTGTACAATTTCTTCAAGTCCAGCAACGGAATTTTCTTGTTGTTCTCGTCTAGGCCTAGATTCTAGATCTAGCTAGGCCTGATCTAGATTCTAGATCTAGAATCTAGATCTTTTCTAGGTCTAAGCTTACAGGCCACCTCTATTCTCACCCGGGGTGAGAATAGTGCAGGCGGGTCTTGTGGCTATTCTCACCCGGTGCGCCCACAGAATTCTACACTGTGATAAGAGAAAAATTGTAGAATTCTGTGCTGTGAACAAACGTTCCATTACAACTGTACTTGTAGCCTACTAAAAGCGTACAATTTTGTCTGTGGGCATTGGAGAGAGAGAGAGTGAGAGAGAGAACAAAACAAAATGGCGACCCGCGTAGTTCGGCTCGATTCGAAAATTTAAATAGCCGTAGCATCTTTGTAGACAACCAAATTAATTTACTTTTGTGTTTTAACATCATTTTTTAACTTTGTTTTGGTTAATTTGATCGTCCACACCGATAGACAGTATTCAGAAAGAGACAGAGAGAGAGAGAAGAGGGGAGGAGTAGATCTTGCGAGAACTTCCGGGCGGGTGAGAATAGCCACTTTCAAGCTTACGATGCAGGCAGTGGCGGTGGGTGGACCAAAATTTGGGTGGGGCTTAGGTTGCTTCCTGTTCTTTACCACAAGCAATAAGAACTAAAAACAGTGATGATTTTTCTATACTCCCGGTGAGCCACGGGAGGACTTCCGTATCGAGCGACCACTATGAGACAGAGCAGAATTGAGGGCTTGGGGTAGGGGTAGGGTTAGGGTTAGGTCTAGGCCTCTTCTTTATTGTGTTTGAGTTTGATGGGGTGGTCGCTCGTTACGGAAGTCCTTCCTGAGCCACTGCAGTTTGAGAACCATTCAAACGAGAAGAGTTGCCTTTATTTTCCATCTCTTTGTTCTTAGTTAAATTCTTGTTAGTGGTGGGGGCGAAGCCGATTCACCTCCAAATTTCCTCTAATTAGTTTTTGTGTGATGAAAGAGATGCCTTAAAAGTAGTTCGACCTGATTTGTAACTTTTAAATCTCAGCGGCACAAACACAAACATGCACACACAGCACTTCAGACAATACTTCTATGAGCTGGATTAGGCCGTGTAGTCGAAAAAGTTGAACGCACCCAACTTAAAGAACCAGTGAGCGCATAGGTATCTGTGTCAGTGGGGGAAGTGTGTCGTAAACTTTCACCCCATTGTCAGAGCTAGGACAGCGTGAGCCCTCGGTAGTGTTATTTTTTCCCTGTCTTTTACCTTTTTACAAGAGAAGAGTTTCATTAAGGACGGGCTGTGGGAAAAGGGCTCATTTTCGTTGAGCCCTATTTTAAGAAAAAACATTTAAAACATTTGATTGGCTGCTGGGTTACTCTAGTTGTAAGCAGTGACAACAGTGATTGGATAAAAGCGAGCAAGCCGCCAAGCTGATCACTCTGTGTTCATTGCGTGCAGTCATAACGGTTTCAACTTCTTATTTCATTATGGAGGAACTTTTATTTACTTTGGGATAGAGTTGGGGGTGGGGAGGGGGTAGGGGCTCAAGCCCGTGAGCCCTTCACTACCCACTGCCACTGGATGCAGGTAAACCAGGGGGAAAGGAGAGACGTCAGCACTGAGGAACACCTTCTATTCTAAAGTGTTTCAAGTCGGTTTGAAAGTGTTCACATTCAGTAGATTTATAAGCAAGTGGCTTTTTTCCGGCGTCGCGCCGGTCAATAGATCAGAAGCTATTCTCCAGCGTCGTGCCGCCGGTCTATTACTAATAAATTGTCGGCGCAGATTTGCAAATACCTCTCTCATCTGTTTGTCTTGGAAAAAATTCCCACAACTTTACCACTTCGTGCCACTTCCATTGATTTTGATACAGACGATAGGTTTTCAGACACAAACTGCCCCAATTCCTCCAATTTAGAATTATGTTGGGTGCTAGAAGAAACGTGTTCCCAACTATTGACGCGAGTTCATAAAAAAGAGTGAGCATAAGAAGGAGTCACATTTTCACTATTTACAAAAATGGAGATACGACAAGAAAGCTCTGAAGTCGCAACATATCAGTTAAATTGATTGAAAATTACAACAAGAAATAAGTTAAACAGCAAGCTATACTATATATGACTAGACAGGATTTTAGACACAAAATCAATTTTGTTCGTTTAAATACAGAATCATTATTTTAAAATAAGCAAATAGACGATGGAAATAAATGAATAAAGTTATGTTAGACAATTACCATAGATAAAATATAATGAAAGGTAGACTTACTAGGCCTAGTTATGACACCGGAGAATAGCTTCCGATCTATTGACCGGCGCGACGCCGGAGAATAGCCACTTGCTTTTATTATAATGAACTCATCTGTTCATTGACCAACAATGAATGTGAAAATTATTTTCAATGTTGCCTGAGTCTGTATGCTGCAGTCGCTTTTCTCCTGCATGTTATCAGCTTAGAGCAGAACTATTTTTTTATGAGTATATTACAAGTAGGCAGATCTAGATCTAATGATTTTAGCATGAACATGTGTTTCAGAAGTCAAGAGTTCTTTCCCCTTTTGACTGCTCACCATACCTATGCACCCAACACGCTACTTAGGAAAATTCTACTGTGCACAAGACGTCACAAGTCACAATGCTTAATCGACGATTGTTCGCTTATTATAAGAGACAGATCCCTAAAACTAATAACATTACCAATAGGCAATAGAAAGATTAGGCCTAATTATAATGAGAGATTAATTCATCCATTAGCGAGAACAAGCCATAACGAATAAAAACAACTTGAAAGTACTAAGACTGAAAAAGCGTTTGGATTCTACATGTTGGCTTTGTCTTGCACAATGTGCGATGTGAGAAAGACAATACACCTCACTTTGTTGTCTGTAAATCTTCTTCTCGTCAAACTACCAATCGAAAGAGAAATGAAGAGATGGTTTAGATATATGATTGGGATGTATAACAAGCCATAACGATGTAAACAAGTGTAAAATACTGCGACAAGACAAGCACTCCGAGTTGACGCAGTGGGTCTGACCGTCTAGCACAATGTGTCTATGAAACATTAAATACGTACCTCGCTTTTTGTTTTCGAGAACCCGCGCTTTCTGTGCAGTAGTAAAGATGGGACCTCAACTATAATAATAAGCTTTCAAGGGATGCCACTCTATTTTTATTCAAAACTTAGTACAGTGGAACTCGGATTCAACGAGGTCGGCGGGCCTGACCTAAATTCTCGTTGAATCCGAGTGTTTGTTTTATAGTAAACATGAAGTTTTGTGTGGATAAATACAGACACTGAGCAAGTGATGGACTGCTTGTACCGCTCTTGTCCCCTACTTGAGTGAGTGGCTTTGTCTATTCTAGCTTTTAGTTTATCAAGGTTTTTAAAAAATAAATGTTTCGTTTGTTTTTTTGTGTGTTTTTTGTTGGGTTCTAGGAGGGGGGGGGGTATTTTGGGGGGGGGGGGGGGTTTGTAATCATTGACTGATTGTAAGTTCTGGAAAATGTAAATAGTGTAAATGTCTCTAGCGGAATATAGTGCCTTCATGAAATTTGCCATACACCGTATTATTTAATCAAATTGATGTCCCTTTCCTTTATGTTTATGTTTACACAGGTAAAGAACTGGTCACATACATTCCAATTGTTACAACAGTTGGCCTGGCCATCTATGTCACTTGGCAGGCTCTGAGGCCAAAGATTGGCCTTGTGAACCCAGGTATTGAGAAGAATGAGCAGAAGGTTGTGAACTCCATGGACATTGAAGACATTGGAGACAGCATTGCTTTCTGCCGGTGCTGGAGGTCCAAGAAGGTTGGTATTCTTTCACATTCAGAGATTGATTTTTAAGGGGTGGTTTTCGGATGGGTTAAGTTTTCTCTATTTCATAAGGTATGTCATATCTCAATTGGTGCAGTACTTTTGAGTTTTTGCAGTGTTGATCACCCAGGTTCAAATCCGCAACATGGCATTTTTCTTTAACTTTGGCTTTTTAGGGAGTTTTTAGGATTTTTTCACCCTTTAGGCCGATCCTGTCCCTGCTGTCAGAGATGGATAATATCATGAGTGGTCTCACCTTTGGAATAACTTTAATAACTTTGCAATATTGAAATGGGGGATTTAAACTATTACTAGTGAGTGGGTGACAGATGCTCTGGGGTGGTCATCTCCTTCTTTCAGGTCCTATCAAATATATCGATCATTGTTACTTGTTGAAACACATCCAATCTTTGGCTCTTGTACAGATGACCTTAGATCTGTGTTGCGAAAAAACTCTTAATATTACTAAAAACTAAAGCTCAATAACCAGTATCAAACCAAACCCATTTTATTGATTAGGTTGCTGGTGGGACTGGTATTCACTACAGGTGTTCATCAGATTTTCATATTTAAAATGTTCTCTTGTCATGTCATCTGAGCTCCCCGACACCAGCTGTTTCCATTGTGCACTGAAGCTTACTGCTTGGAAATCAGCTGCTTGGTCTATGCAGTTGTTTTAATACACATTTTTACTTTCCTGTAGGTCCATAGGTCCATTTACTTCCTTTCTCCTTTCCCTTTTTGATCTGGACCATGTGATAATTTTACATTTGTTGACATTAGGTTCCGATTTGCATCATAATTTGAATGTGATTTTATTTTTAAGATTGTTCTCATTATTAGTTTGAGTTGTTGTGAACTTTCTGTTTTGTCATCTCATACAAAAATGCAAAAGTCATATATATATAATCTCCATGGGGTGGTATTTTATCAGGTTTTTCTGGATTTTGTGATGTTGTTGTTGCCATAAAAATGTTGAGAAAAGTCCAGACAAAAGTATGAAGTAAGTGACAATGGAAATGTTGAGAAAAGTCCAGACAAAAGTATGAAGTAAGTGACAATGAAAATGTTGAGAAAAGTCCAGACAGAAGTATGAAGTAAGTGACAATGGAAATGTTGAGAAAAGTCCAGACAGAAGTATCATGAAGTAAGTGACAATGGAAATGTTGAGAACAGGATTAGACACACAGATGGGGAAATCATGTGAATTTTGCTCTGTTTAAACTTGTTATGGTATATAATTCAAATCATATGCTTTTTATTAAAAAATTACTTTGTTTACTGAATAAAATTGTGCTTTTAATTTTAAAATAATTTTTATTTATGTAAATAGTTGTACGTTGGCTGTGTGATGCTGTCTACTGTCTGTCTTATGTGTAGCCTGTATAAGTGTTCATGCTGTAAATACATGAATATTAATGTGGACTTTGATGCATAATGATGAGTCATCGGTTGATTTCCCTGTGTGACTGTTCATTAGGGTTCAAATTCCGAAATATTGATTTGAGGCATTCAATGACGTGCATCATGTCTGTTAATATCAAGTCAATTTCCTCAGCTGTTTTGTGACAATTACAGCATATTTGGGCACAGTAACATGAAGACCCATAATCGGAAATCTGGGATAGCTATTTTAATAATGCCGTTCCCCAGCTAAACTTAATATTTTCTTTGTTGTCAAACTCCTCATTTTGAAAAACCCAATCAGATGTCTCAAATTCAAATGGCACTATGCGCAAGATGGAATACAACACACCCATCGTCACTGAGAGGTATAGGTTACTCGAGCCCACTAGGCTCACCCACTCATGGTCAATACACATACTGCTGATATTATGGAGACACAACATGGCACATTACCTGTAGTGTGCGTTAGGCACTAGAACTTCCTTGAATCTAATCATATGTGAGGGTGGGCACCAGATGGTGGGATGTGATCGAATACTGACTGTGTGGCACTGCATTGGGCTGTATGGTGTGTGAATGTAGTTGTTTGAATTATGTGAAAGTATGGATTTGGACATGATTCACAGCTTACTCAAGAAGGGGGGGTGGCGTTCTCTGATTGCAGTTGGTTATTTATTTTTATCATAATCTAACATATATGAGAAAATTTTACTTTAGTTTTTAGTTTAGGCTCATCAGCAATACTCGATTCCTTTCTCTTGCTTCAACACCAAACAAGGCAGACACTATACCTCCTCCTTCTTTCATTTTCTCGATACCAGGTGCTTTTCATGCTGGCACAGAAGAGAGAACTTAATTCTCTGACACTAGCCACTAGGCTTCAGATTTTAGCAGAGATTGACAATAAGTGTTGCGCTTAAATGGAAATTTGTAAGAGATTTCTCCTTTTCCACATTTCTCGTCACAAAAAAAAAGATACGGTAAAATCAAAAGCACTAGTGCCATCATATTGGATGTCAGCCCAACAGAAAGCAAGTGTGCTTTGCCAAATTATTTTATTTTAGAACATGGAGCCAGCATTGTTTCAGTGGTTCTAGCAATCATTTGCCATGTCTCTTATTAAATTTATCTGTGGTCCCATTGTGATGACAAAAGCAGACGAAATCTAAAAGTTGGCGTTGACTGCACATGGAACACAAGATGGTTGGTCATGGCATTATCTCTCTTACAGCTGTGTGTGTGAATCTGCTACTATCTATGACAGTAAAAAAAAATTTCAAACCATTGGTTCATCACATTTACTTCCCTTGATTTTTTATGTCTTATTTTTCTTTACATTGGTTACTACATGGACAAAAACCTGGTGTGTAACCGTAAACAAAGAAAAGTCTTCTGCTACACTCTTCACTCTCAGCCAGGCTGAGCCAAAACACATCACATTAAGACAAAACCCCCCTAAAGTTTGAGAATCAACAGAAGTATCTTGGAATAATCTTTGACAGGCGTCTCACATGGAAACAACACATTCAAAATGCAGAAAATAAAACCAGGAAGAAACTTAACATCATGAGAAAACTAGTAGGGACTCAGTGGGGAGCAAATGAGAAAACACTTAGACAGGTCTATCTAGGCGCAATCAGGCCCCATCTCGAGTATGGATCCAGTGCATGGTTGACTGCAGCGCAGGCTCACAAATACGCTCTGGAAAAATGCAAAACCAGGCTCTCCGAATAATCACTGCAGCAATGAGGTCAACGCCTATATAGAAAAGATGGAACAAACAACATCTATAGTGGCCCTGCAGAGGAGATGGGAATACAAGGCCCCCGTACTGTACACCAAGGCCACAGCTATGGAGGATCATATACTGCACTCAAGAACAGCCAGATCAAACACCACAAGACTTAAAAGATCCAACTTCATCAAAGAAAGCAGAAAAACCCAAAGATCCCTACAGGACCATCTACCAGCCACAGTTAACATGCTGAACCATACCCCAGAGGCACCATCATGGGAAAAGAAAAACACAAACATAACTATACATACGTCCATTCCTATGTTCACCACAAAAGATGACCACAGCGACCTGAGCAAGAAGTCCCTCACCCTGTCCATGCTTGAACAAAGATACCCACGAGAAGCATGGATTTAAGGATCTATACAGACAGATCTGCCACTGATGCTGTGAAAAGAGGAGGAGCCGGAGTGTACGTACAGTTCCCAAATGGACGACGACAAGCAGAGGCAGTCCCAACAGGGTGACGTTGTACAAACTTAACTACAGGGCAGAGACGGAGGCTCTAATACATGCAGCAAACATCATCAAGAATGTGGTAGACGCCCAAAGTCAAGTAGTATTCCTAACAGATGCCATGTCAGTACTGCAGGCAATCACTTCCGTCAAACTACCAAGGCTACAAAAAGTAATTGAGGACATCCCATGTCTGAGGATCATGCTGCAGTGGATTCCATCACACTGTGGTGTCTTAGGAAATGAGCAAGCAGACAGGATGGCCAAACTAGGAGCACAGAAAGAGCAACCAAACAAAAGCATTAACTACACAGAAATAAAAACTATTATAAATACACTATTTAAAGCACCTCAGACACCAGATGGCTTCCATGAGCTGTCCCGCCAAGAACAAGTGATTATCTTCAGATTAAGGACACAACACACAAGACTGAGACAACATGTACAAATGTTTTAAACTAGTACAATCACCAAAATGTCAGTGTGGAGAGACGGACCAAACGGTTGAACACATCCTTCAGCACTGCAAGACACACAAGGCCCTGAGACAGGAAACATGGCCAACCCCACTGACGCTACAAGAGAAGCTATACGGGCCGACAGATGAACTGAGCAGGACGGCCCAATTTATGACAGATACCAGACTTCAAGTGTGATGCGATCGAGAAGAAGAAAGAAGAAGATTACATTGGTTTACCCTCATTGTGGATGCGTTGAACACATTTCGCTACCTTAGAATTACGAAGTCCTATCTGACATTTGAGTTTCTCAGATCATGAGGTCACAAACCAAATGTTTTGTTTATCCTATCAGAATCGTAAGATTATTTGGAGTCGTTATCATGATCATGATATTCAAGAATTGCATTTGAAAAAAACTTGATATGAAACTCAAATTTTTTAAGGTCAAATCAAATTTCTCTAAACTAGGTATGTCTAGCAGATCAAACTTTGTTCTTCTAGTAAAATTTCTAGTTTAGCTACTATTTGTCGTTCTTCAAAGTGTTTGAGTTTTCCATGCCGAACTTTATTTATTTTTATTTATTTATTTTATGCTTCAAGAAAAGAAAACTTAAGAGAAAATTCAGGTTTTACTACAGTAGCCTCTTTCATCTATTTTTGGCATTTCATTGTGTGCCAATCTCAATTTTTCTTTTTTTACTCTTTTCATCTTTTCAGTTCCCTCTGTGCGACGGCTCCCACAATGCTCACAACAAGAAGCAGGGAGACAATGTGGGACCAATTTGCCTGAAGAGAAAGTCTGCCTAAAAGCTATTCTGTCTTCCGAAAGAAGAGGAAAGAAATTGTCGAAATGTAGATTGGGAATTAATATAATCTTTTTCTCCACTTTGTGAAAGGGTAGTGAGTGAAGATGATCTTTTGTTGTGTCTGTTTTTAAGCCTGAATGGTTACTGCTGAGTTGGTTACTTGTGAAGATGAATTTGATACTCAAATAATTTTGTGCCGAATATCTTTATGCTGTGGTTGAAAATGTTTCATTGTGCAAAACCCTCTTCAGTTTTGAAGTCGTTCTACATCAACAAGGACAGTTTTCTTTTTCTTTTGAAAAGAGTTGAGTAACCATTTGGCACTAATTTGAGCCAGCTAAATTAAATTTTAGCCCTTTTTCTTTCTCTTAAATGTGTGTCACTTTTCGCAAGGAAAACTTGTTTTCAGGAATTTGAAGCAAATAAAAAGTTTGTCCTTGGTATTGGTGTACTCTACCCTTACTACTCAAAGCTTGTGTAGATTGCACAGTAGGTGCTCTGTCGCTCAAAGCCCTTCTTCATATAATATAAGATAGCCTACATGTATGTATGATACATACATCTGTCTTTGGAAGGTTCTTTGTTCGTGCAGTTTACTATTTAAAGTCCCATAACCAGACCAAATATTATTACTTATTTATGGAAACTGTAAGAACTGCTAGAGGTTTGAGCATGTTTTCAAATGTATTGTTTTAAATCTTTCTGCCAGTACTCACTTTCTAGTCTAATTTTAGGGTACAAAAAAAGTAAACAGGACAAGTAGGCCTATGTGAAATCTCAATTTAGATTGTTTTTGGTAATTCATTTCTATTAGTTACTGAGATCTTTCTATACTTGTTTTATTGTTATTTTTTGTACGAAATAAAAGTGAAGAACCACCAAATTATATTTTAACTCTTTGACTTTTTGTATTTTTCCCAGATACCTCACCTCCCTGGTAGGTGGTTGGTGGGTGCTCTAGTGTGGTTTGCTCCCTCTTACCTATCATACATGTATCATCCTTATTTCTCCTCCTTTGTGTATACTCTCTTGTAACAACTCTAATCTTTGACTCTTATTGACATAATTGTGTTGCAAGTGCTGTAAAGCTCTTACTTAAACTTAACCTCACCTCCCTGGTTTGTCAAGAGGGATGTGATGATATGTTTCATTAAAGTACTTTGCAACTGTTTCACTTTCCTTGATAACTGTCTCGATCTGTTACTAAAATGAATTGGGTTTTTTTTTTCCTCTTTGGATGCTTTAGTATTCAAAGTAAAAGCAGTTTTCATAAACAGGTCACTCTTACTTTTAGTCTGATGAATTATCAGATAAGGCAAGGGAGAAACTATGAAATTACAGGTAAAAGTAAATTTTACAGGTGGTTGACGGGTGCTTTGGTGTGGTTTTATCCTTCTTTCCTATTAAACTTCTATCGACTGATCTCTCCTCTTTTTTTTCGTGTTTGTTACTCTTGTAACACCTCTAACTAATCTTCAGCACTTTTATGACCTAATTTTATTGCAAATGCCCTAAAACTTGAGTTTTGAGTTTCAATGAGTTCATAATAAGACAAGTGCAAGTGAACGCTGTTTCATGCTGGGCCCAAGTTTGTTCTTAGGCAGGGCCAAAGCAGCCCATCTCCTAAAGGATAGAAATTATGTCCATGGAGATGTTAAACATATTTACAGTTTGTCAATCTATATATAGAGAGGAACAATTTCTGGCTCCTCCTATGGGAAGTAGAGGAACAGTTGCCTCAACCAATATGACCTAGAAAATGCTAATGGAAACATTAATTAATTTCATTGACAATTTCTTACCTCTATAGCCTTTTTAAGTCTTTACTAAAGATCTAGTCTACTTATGAAATCTGTTTCCCAATTCTTCATTCAGGCAAATATAAAAAAGGCATACTGGTGTCTGTGGTCTAGCTGTTAGGCTCTTCGCTGTGGCTCACATAAAGACCTGAGGTTGATTCCCTCGGGAGAATTTTTATCAATATCAAGTAACATGTACATGAATCTCCGTCTGTTTTCTGGGGCGTCGTATCCCTCTCAGCATGGGTTGGCCCTGACAGGCAGGTTAAAACCCATCTCCTAAATGATCTGAATCGTGTCAAGTCGACACTTACATTTTAAGAAGAAAAAACAACAAATAAACAAGAAAAGCGCACTGCCCTTGTATGAGAATGAGAGTGAAAGGATGGACCTATTTGCAGAGTCTTTTAGTAGTATGACTGAATTGACTGTGTTGATTGCCCAATTTTTCTGTAATGTCATCCATCACCTAGTACTGCATATATATGAGCCGTTAGTTTTGTTATCTTTTTAATTTACATCGCAAGAGGGTTAAAAACTTGATTGTTCGAGGTCCAAAATATGAAAGGGTTCTGGCATTTTTCTGAGCTCTCCAGAAATTGAAATACACTGTCGTTCTTAGCTCAGTTTCCTGTCAGGGAACCAAGGGTGGCGTAGGCTACATGGTTGTGCCTTGGACGCCAGACTTTAACATCCCCCCCCCCCTAAAAAAGATAGAAAAAAAGAAAAATCGCCCATTTATAGCTGGGCACAGTCCGCACAGAAAGACGAACACGGGAAGCTTGAAATCGCATATATAGCACATGCAGTTTGCCATTCTCCGACTGTACATGATAGGCCTAGATAAGTGTAGAATTCTGTGGCCTAGATTTATCTCTTTAATTTTTCGTGATCAGGTTACTTGAATTTTATCATAGATGTGTCGAACACATTTGTCAATTCCCGATATGTTTGAGTTGTCCGAGCCCGACTGTATTAGTGACGGTAGTATTAGCAATTGGGCAGGAATAGAAAGTGCGGGTGTTTGGAGGGCGACGCTGGCAGGTCCTACTTTGTTGCTTTCCTTCTGTTGTTTCTGTCTGTCTTACTTTTTGCTTGCACGAAAGTATCATTTCTTACTGAGTCAGGGACAATGTGCTTCTTTTTATTTAAAGAAAGAAACCAATGAATCGGGAGTCCCAAGTATAAAACTCAATAAAAGAGGGTTTTCAGATTTTTTAAAAATAATGTATAAAACATTCAGTCCATCGGCTACAAAGCTCTCAAGTCTCAACTTACTCAGTGTACAGAATTTCTGGCAGATAAATTCATTAGATGGCTCTCATGACGTGAGTGGTTTGAAGGCGCCACTGGTAGGTCCCACTTCTTTGCGTTCCCTGTGTTGTTTCTGTCGGTCTTACTTTTTGTCAGTACATGTACGAAATTATCACTATTGAGTCAATGACTCAATCTGCTTCTCTATTCAAACAAACGAGCCCAAGCATAAAAGAGGGTTTTTAGAATTTTTATTAAGAACATTCAGTCCATCCGCTACCAAGCTCATGACGTACTCAGTGATATGTACAAAGCAATTTTGACTTGACATTTCTGACAGATAAATTCAGTGTAATAAATATTATGTAGTTGGCTATCGTCATGCTGCTTTTTTTCTGTAAACGTTGACAGGTCCGACATTGTCTCCGTTTTTCTGGTTGTGATATTTGTGAGCTCCGTCACAGTAGGGCCACTGCAAATTAAATTGGGGAATTTGGGAGTAGGGCGAGAAAACCGAAAACATTGCATGAATGCATATATATGTAATTTATTGTAACAACAGGCCAACCCAATATTATTACAGTAGTTACAATCGTCTGTCTAAATAAGACGGCCACGCATTTTGTTGAGGAGAGAAGTGATCGCTTTAAACAGGTGGCTGTCTTATACATGTACTTTTTTTTTTTTGGGGGGGGGGGGTTGTAAGTGTTTAGCGGCGCTCGCAACTGCATAAGGTCTTTCTTATGAGCGCGCGGGACACATTAAACATTTTCAGTTGGTAGGAAATTTTGAATTTTGCCCTTGTGGCGGCCGAAGCCTACTCCTATCGATTTTGGACCACCAAGGAATCTTTAATGTGTGCAACTTGCACGCGGGACCTCCGAGATTTTTCGCCCTTGTCCGAGAAGGCTAGGAGTAAATCTTACCTACCATAAGATCAAAGGCGCGACTGAAGAAAGACAGCAGTAAGCAGTTAAGGAGTAGCAGTAGAGAGGCTGCAGAAAAAGTCGGGAACCCGGAGGAGGGGGCAAAGGAGGTGAGGGGGTGGGGGGCAGAAATAATAGGAGACGAAAGCAGACGACAGAACATTGTTAGAGAGTAGGAAAGGATGAGAAAACATTTTAGAGAAGAAAATGTTCCGTCGCTATCCGGATTCGAACCCGTGACCATTGAATGAGAGAGGAAAAGGGGCGGGGGGGAGTGACCGTTTATCCAGGTGATTGCCTCATTCAGACGGCTGTTTGAGTAGGTTTGACTTATTGACTGAAATTCCCAGAAACCAACACGGAGTCTATATTACAAAAGTAGAGAGGGTCTGTCTGCCAACGGAGAGAAGTTTACTGAGATAGGTAGGCCTACTACTCGTACATGTTAAAATAATAAAAGCCCACCAGCATCTATATCCAGAAGAAAATTTCAAGGGTCAAGGGATCAGATTTTTTCTTTTTCCTCCCCTGCATGTATCAACGGTGTGTGTTTTCAGATGCTTAACTTAAGAGTCTCCGCCAAGGCTGACAGAATCTTTCTGGGACTGATGATTAACTAGTGGCACGTGTTGTCGTGATTCGCGTCACTAACAAAGTTAACAACCGATACATGTAGGCCTACATATAATGTCCAAATCAGTGGTGTCTTGTGGAATGGGGCTTGCAGCTTAAACACCACCTGGTTTTCTTCACCAAAAAAGTTACTTCTCTGACTAAAATCAAAACAAAAACATTAACAAAAATCGTAAAAGAGACAAAACATAATACATGTACATGTAGTGCATTTCGATAATTTAAAAACGTGAACACGCAAACGAAACTCCTGACGTACAATAACTCGAAAAGTGATCTGATTGGTCTGTGTGTCTACTACAGCAGTGTTGATAAGAGCGTCAGACCCACACTTCGCGGGGTTCAAACTCAATACGTCTCAGGTTCAAAACCGGACAACGACGAAAAATTTTCTTTAGTAGAATTGTCTCCTTTCACATCCGTTCCTGCTCTCTAGTAATGATGTTATTTCATATATTTTCATCTCCACTTTCTCCCCTCCCCCCCTTCCCCCTTTCCTCTCGGCTCCTGACTCTTTCTACTACTACTACTAGCCCCTTCAATTACTGCTGATGTTAGGATAGGTAAGATTGAACACCTAGCCTTCTCGGATAACGGCGAAAAATTCTCGAAGGTCCTGGTTATGCACGTTGAAGATCCCTTGGTGGTCCTAACTAAAATCGATATGAATAGACTTCGGTCGCCAACCGGTCAAATTCAAAATTAATTTCTACGATAATTGAAAATGCTTACGGCACTTAATGTTAAAACAACCAACTTGCACCCCGCGCGCTCATACAGTTTATATATAAATAGTGACCTTGTGCAGCTGCGTAAAACTCTTACCAAAAAAATATTTTTTAAAAGCACACACACACACTTTTATTTGAGGGTAGTGGTAATTATGCTGGTAGCTTCGTGGGTCTAACGCAGTTAGCTACTGTTTTTATAGCCACGATATGAGGATTTCTGGATTCATATTACAAATAAATAGAGAGAGACAGGGACCGACACAAAACGCAGACACACACACACACACACACACACACACACACACACACACACACACACACACACACACACACACACACACACACACACACACACACACATATATATATATATATATATATATATATATATATATATATACATACAGAGAGAGAGAGAGGGGGGGGAGGGAGAGAGAGAGAGAGAGAGAGAGAGAGAGATTAGGCCAAATCTGAAAGTGAGACTTGAGCGAACAGACACTCTTATTAGTCTTAGTCTACCAACCTTCTCCGATAGCCAACAGCGGCACAAGCTGACTTTCTGCCCTGGCTCCAGTCTGGTCATGAGATCTTCAATGTCGAAGGCGTCCATGACCTTCTTCTCATCCTTCCTGATGCACGGGTTGATGGGACGGGCTGGGGACCTGCCCAGTCGCCGGAGGGTGAAGTAAGCAACCACTCCAAGCGCCGCGGCGGCGGGCACGGCCAACAGCAAGGTTTTGTTCTGATCTGTAGAGAACATACATGATAATTAGTGGGTGGTTGGTGGGTACATCATTGTGAAAGAGGTGCTTGGAGGAAGGATGCAGGGCGGGGGAGCCAGGGGAAGACAAAGAGTAAAATGGTGGAAATGGTGAAATGGTACATGCATGGGTTTAACGTCCCTATCAAGACTATTAGCTTATATTTATTAAGAGGCGGGACCTCCTAGTTTAACGTCCGTCTTCGAAAGGACCGAGCCAAGTAGGGAATTCGTGCAAAGTGCCTTTCCCAAGGACACAACGTCGGACCAAGATGAGGCTCGAACCCCCGAACCCGCAATCTCACGATTACGAGTCCGGTAGCCTAACCACTAGACTAGTCCGGCAGCCGCCCACGCCACAAAGAGTAATATGGATAGGCAACATAAAAACACACACATATATATATATATATATGTGTGTGTGTGTGTGTGTGTGTGTGTGTATGTATGTATGTATGTATATATATATGTATATATATACATAGAGCAACGGCAGCTCTCGCGGCCGTGAAGGATGTAGGGTCATTCTCATTACACCATTACATGTCAACCTCTGAGTCAGAGATGACACGTCCAGGTATCCAGGTGGGTACTCTGGTGTGATGCGCTCCTTCTTTCCTATCAATATCAAACATCTTTCGTCCTCATCCGTTTTGACCTTTCTGTCCATTTAATAACATAATTGTTTCTGTGTGGATTTTTACTGTAGAACGTAAACAAAGGAACGACAAAAAAAAGTTAATGTGCAGTTTCCAAGTAAACTCAAGATTTGGAAGTCACAAAAATCAGCCGACCATAATATTCCCGCTAATTTTACCTCAGACATCCTTGCGTTAATTTATATTGCAATTACACCGTCAAAGACATCCGTAGTCTAAAACAATCACATTTTTCCTCGACAATGGGTGGCCGTCTTGAACAATTTCGACGGCATATTATGACTGTCGTTATCTTAGTTGGAATCATGTCGATCTCTTGGCCTAGAGAAAAGATAATCCTGGTCTGAGTCCCCGAGAGGCGCCCTGAAATTGCGATGTGAGGGGGTTCTTTATTCTGGAGGAGAGGGTCTTACCTCCTTAATCTCAAGATTCACGTTCTATTCCATATTAGTGCAACCATGTGACAAAGGTTAACAAAGGAAACGGGACCAGGATAACTATGGAAAGGAGCCCCTCGCCATATTGTGTCCCTTGGTGGATAGGGGAATTGAGTGCTATGTCTTCAGATATTACACTATTATTGCAATGTATTACTATTATTATTATTATTATTATCATTATTATTATTATTATTATTATTATTAAGATTATTATTATTAAGATTATTATTATTATTAATATTAGTATTACATGTATTATCATTATTATCATTATTATTATTATTATTATTATTATTATTATTATTATTATCATCATCATCATTATTATTATATTATTATTGTTAATATTATCATTATTATTATCAAAAGAAAAATACGCACGTCATGAGCGTCAGACAGCTCCGTCGTTGTCAGGGGTAGAAGATGGAGAGTTCACCAGTGAGCGAGGACAAAATTAATTAGCAATGATATACGTGTATTATTTGTTACATGTACTAATTAGCTATTTGGTCAGTCCTGTCCTCCAACTTATCGAGCTTAGAAAAAATTGCCAATAAATCATGTGTGTGTTTGAGTGTGTGTGTGTGTGTGTGTGTGTGTGTATGTGTGTGTGTATGTGTGTGGGTCTGTGTGGGTGTGTGGGTGTGTGTGTGTGCGTGTGTGTGTGCGTGCGTGCGAGTGTGTTGAGTGCGTATGAGAGTGAGTGTGTATGTATGAGATGTATGAGTGTGCAAGTACAAATATCTACGAAAGAGGATGAGGAATGTGGAATTTTTTAAAGAGGAGAATATAGGAAACTACAACTACAAAACATGTACATTGTGTGGGGGGTTAACCCACCCTGCATTGATAAAGCAGACGTGCACAAGGTAATAAGGGAGTTAAATAGTGTGACCATTCGATAATAGCTACGTTTTTGGCAGTTTGCTCCCTTCGATTGTCCTCGTTCTTGCTACATGGTCCCAAATTATCTACAATATTATCTTTTTTAAATTACGTGTACGCTTCCAAAAAACAAAACAAAATAAAAATGAAAAGCAGGACCCGTAGGCCTACTTCTAGGATCTCTTATTAGGTAAACATGAATTGCGCGACCTATTTTTGTTTTTTGCAGTAAAGTCCAAAAGTACTGGTGAGATTGTTCATAAAGTTACTGACCAGTTTGTATAATGAATGTCTTAACGTACTATACAGTTATGCGATTTTTTTATTTTTTTAAAGAGTATATTATGCATTATTTTAACAATGATATTATACTAATGAGGTTACACAGTACAGCCCTTGCATTGTACACATGTCTGATCTTCACACCTTCATAAGCACAGAAGAAAGATTGAGTGTACACACGTGGCTGTTGATGAATTTGTTGTGGTGGTGTGTGCGTGGGGATACATGTGTTCTTCAATTTAAAGCATTTTCATAAACGAGTTTACAAAATTTCGACATCTCGGGGGTTGGCGGTGGGTGGGTGCTTTAGTCGTGGTTATCTCCTTTCCTACCAAACATCTATCGTTCTTATTTCCCC